CAACCCCAGGAAGCTGGTCTGCAGGATCCCGCTCTACAGACAGGCTGAGGCCCAGCTGGTGCGGGAGCCAGAGGGGTAAGCTGGTCTGAGCCAGGGCTACAGGGGGCCAGCTGGCCCACTGTCACCTCACCCGGCCACCAGAGGCAGGGACCGTGCCCACCCAGCACCCCCAGAGCAGCTGTCTGTTAGAGGATGCCACCGGTGCACCCAGGGCTTGTCTCGAGGCCTCCCCGGGCCACAGGGGGAAGGACGGTCCCTCTGCCGGCCTGTCCTTGGCACCTCCCACTCTCACTTGCTGGGGAAATCGAGGTTGGTGGGAACTGAAGCCAGGGGCCCGTCCCACTTGGTGTCAGGAGTGGCCCTGGTGGACGTGGCCAGGCTGTGTCACCCCCGGTAGGCCTGCTGCAGGGATGACAGTGACACAGGGACCTCTCAGCAGCGGGTGCAGAGGTGCCCTGGGGTCTAGCCAATCAGACCTGAGGGAGGCTGGCCTCCACTATCGTTCCCCAGCTTCCTGGGGCCACATTGGCTGCCCAGGTGCCAGGTGTGGTGGGCGGGGAGGGTGGGGAGCCCAGAGGAAGGGCCTCAGGCACAGGCTGCGGGTGACGCTCCTCCACTCTGGCCAGCAGCGGGGGACAGCAGGCAGGTAGGCCCCGGCCGCAGGCTCCTGAGGGCGCAGCCTGGGAGAGCCCCCTCCCGCCAAGGGTGGGCTGGGAAAGGGGCCAGGCTGAGTGGCTGCAGTCACCTCCCTGCTGCTTGCCTCGTCCCTTTCTCTAGCAGGGACAGGACCTTCCTGGGCTGTGGGGTAGCAGGCCCACCTCAGTGAGGGCAGGGCCGCCTGGGGATTGGAGGGTGTGGGTGGCGGGCGCCCCACAAATCGGAGACATGTCAGGGGATATCTGTGGCACCTGGGGGGCAGGAGGTGCTCAGAGGCCAGCAAAGGGCCACAGGGGAGGCTGGGCTGCCCCGTCAGCTGTGTGCACATGTCACCCTCCAGGGAGACCAGGGTCCTTGCTGGTCGCCCACCTGTGCCCGCTGTCTGCAGGACCGACAGCACATCTCTTGGGGCAGATTGCCCAGGAGTCCAAGGGAACTACAAAGTCGTGGCTGGGGACAGAGTGGACTGGGACCTGGGCTCACACCCAGCTCTGCCCGGGCCGTCCCCTCCTGTGTCAGGGAGGCATTATGTTAGGGCTGTTTCAGTGCCAGACCGCAGCTGGCCTGGCCATCTGCCCGGCCAGGGCCCCGGCCTTCACTGCCAAGGCCAAGGGTCTGCGCGGGTTTGCCTCTAGGGAGTTCTGGCCTCAGCATCCTGCGGGACCCTCAGTGGCCCGGTCCCCCACTCCTCCAGGAACATGCAGGGAGGGCCTGGGAGACCTGGACACCTGCTCATGCAAATCCCTGGCCATTTGCATGCCCCCCCTCTTGGTGGCCCCATTTGCCTGGGCTGGCACCAGTCTGAATGCCCCTCAGCCCTGGGGCTGGAAGCCAGTGTGGGTGGCTGTCTGGGCCCTCGGGAAGGCCAGGGGTTCAGGGGCACCCCTCCTGTCCTGCCGCCAGGAAAGAGGTGGCAGGCTGTGGTGCATGCTGAGGCCTGGGCCCATGACCTGTCCCCAACTCCCTGGGTGCTGCTCCTCCAGGGGGAGGGCATGCCGCACCCCAGGCCAACCAGCACCCAGGGGGGGCTAGCCTCATGGGGAAGGAATTTCAGGGGTAAGGGAGCCCACAGCAGCCCTCCTGTGGCAAGGCCACCTACCACCTTCCTCACCCGAGATCAAGGGGAGAGAAGAGTGGGACCCTTCCCTGGCCTGAAGTTCACGGGACAGCAGATGACGTCACCCTTGTCATACCCCAGGCTGAGGGGCAGCACCGGGGCTAAGGCCCTCTGATACCAACCTCCCCCCAGCCCCTGCCACCCTGGGCCAAAGAGCATGTCCATCTCGAACCCTGCTGCAGAGCACGTATCCAGATGTGGCAAGGAATGGCCCTACCCAAATAGTAGGGCCATTCTTGGGGGACACCAAGAAGGACCAGTGCCCACCCAGCACCTCAGGCCATGACAGCGTTGGGAAATAGGGTCTTTGCAGATGTGATTGGGGGAGGATGGGGACACCACTCGGCAACTGGTGTCCGTACAAGGAAAAGAGAGGACACAAAGACACAGAAGAGGCCTTGTGGCCACAAGCCAAGGACACCCAGAGCCCCTGGGGCTGGAGGAGGCAGGGGGTGCTCCCTGGAGGCTCTGGGGAGCGGCCCTGCCTCGCCTGGATCTTGGGCTTCTTCCCGCGTGACTGGGAGGGGTCCCTTTCCACGGTGTTAGGCATCTGTCTGTGGCCCTTGGCCTATGTCCTGTCTGCCCCGCCCCCAGCCAGGTCTTGTCCTCAGACCCCAGTTCAAAACCATCAAACCACTCTGCCAGCTCAGAAAGGCCACATGCAAATCCTGCCCCTCTGTGGGCCCTGGACGCCAGCTTCCTCTCTGGGAGTGGGAAGTGGGGAGGATTTGCATTCCCAGGGGACAGAGGCCAGCAGGTAGTGACAGCATGAAAGAGCCTCCAGGCCTGGTGGATGAGGGGGCCAGGCTCAGGTGGACGGGCCCCTGGAGGGCAGGGCCAGCTGAGCTCCAGTCCATCTTGGTCAGTGGCCACAACAAAGGACCACAAACTGGGTGTCCCAACAGGACAGGAACTCACGCTCACAGTCCTGGCGGCCAGAAGTCCTAAGCCAGGGTGTGGGAGGGTGGTGTGTGCGCTGAGGGCTGCCCCAGCCCCAGGCCCTGGCTTACGGCCTTCTCTGCAGACTCTGCCTGTCCCCACACTCTGCCTTCCATAACTCCCCTTCCTACAAGGACCAGTCACACCCACTTGGGGGGACCTCGTCTTAGCTTCTCCTTTTTCTTCATCTTTTCACGGGGCGGGGTTGTGGCTCAGCGGTAGAGCACTCAACTAGCATGTGCAAGGCCCTGAGTTCAATCCTTAGCACCCCATAAAAATAAATAAATAAAGACAAAAGTATCGTGTACCACCAAAATAAGTAAATATTAAAAAAACAACAACAAAAAAAACCTTTTTGTGGATTGAACCCAGAGGAGCTACATCCCCAGTCCCCCACCCTTTTTTTAATGTTTTAAGACAGGGTCTTGCTAAATTTTCCAAGCTGGCCTCAAGGCTTGTGATCCTCCTTCCTCAGCCTCCCAAGTAGCTGGGATTACAGGTGTGCACCATAGCACCCAGCATTGATGATATTTTTATGGGGTTTTAGACTCTAGGCACAATTACGATTTAAAGGGAGGAGAAATTGCCTATTCATAGTTAGAAACTCAAAAGTTTTACATTAAAAGTTCATTTGATTAAGTTCAAAATGATCCACATGAACTTAATACATTTTGGACTTTTAAAAATCATTGTTTCCTTTATGTACATGCACAAAAGGGCAGAGGTATCAAGAAGGGCAACTTCACTTTCAGCAAGTATGCTAGCCAAAGCATCTCTCTCTTTTATTTATTATTTTTAAGTACTGGGGATGGAACCCAGGAGCACTTAACCCCTGAGCTACAACCCCAGCCCTTTTTATTTTGAGACAGGGTCTTGCTAAGTTGCTCAGGGCCTAAGTTGCTAAGGCTGGACTTAAACTTGTGATCCTCCTGCCTTGGCCTCCAGAGTTGTCAAGGTTACAGGGAGTGGCATATTAATATCTTAATACCTTAATCACATCTGCAAAGACCCTATTTCCAAAGGGCACATCCAAAGCTACCAGGGGTCAGGGCTCAGACACATCCTTTTGAGGGGACACATCCTTTTGGGGAACACAGCCCCTGTGCTGGGTCCAGTGACACCCTGAGGAGGAGCTCAGCCTCAACCCTACCCCTCCAGGGGGCACAGGACACATCCCTGCAGTCTGAGGTCACCCTGTCCACCTCCTCTGTCCCCCACATGTGCACGGTGGCCCCTATCTAATAGACTCAGGTTTCACAGAGGCCATCTGTGGTCAGACACTGTCTGGTGAATCCGGGAAAATGCTCAGCAGGAAGCAGAGAGCTCCTCCCGCCTAGACCAGGCCCTGGGAGACCCTTGACTGTGGCCTATGTCCCCTAGCCCAGTGGACGGCCTGGTTCCCGAGGGTGGGAAGGAGCCTTTGGGTGGCCCACACTGTTTTTGGAAGACACTGCATGTAGATCGGGCTCAGCTAAGGCTGGTGCTGGCAGGTGGGTGACACCAGGCACCGGCCAGGGAGCTTCTTGGGGGTCTTGAGGGACGGGGCTCTAGGTCACATGGGCTCTAGGTCACAGGGACCCTTAGGTCCCTGATGCAAGGAATGGGGCTGGGGCCTGGCTCGTCCAGGTTGTATCTGAGCCCTGACCCCTGGTAGCTTTGGATGTGACCTCTGGAAGGTCCTGTGGACAGGGCCAGGGCAGGGCACGGCGCTGGCAGCCTCTTGGCCTCCATCTGCTGAGACAGGGACTGGGTGGGAAGAGCCTGGGGTGGGGTGAGGTGCTGCCGCTGACCCGGGAGCCGGGGAGCCTCTGTGCTCTGGGCAGGGAGGGCGGTCCCCTCCTCCACATGACCCCCAGGCCCTGGCACCTGCCTGCTCAGGAGCACCTGGGTGTCCTCATGCCTGCCCTGCGGTGGCTGCATGGCTAACCCCTGCCGCTCCTCTGCCAAGTCTCTCCTAACAAGAGCCTTTGGAGAGGGTGGGGGGGGTGGCTGGGCGCAGGGGCCTGGGGTGGGAGAGCAGCAGGACCAGAGCTGGGCAGAGGGCTGGACACATCCCTATACTCCCCGGGGGAGCCTGACTGGGCCATGCTGAGGCTGGACGTCACAGGGAGGGGCTGGCTTGAGAGAAGGTCACCAGAGCAGAGACGGCCTCTCTTGGTCCCCAAGTCTCTGCAGATTTATTGGCTGGGGGGGGGGTCTTCCCTGGTGAAGGTAGCTCCCTCACTGCAGTGACGGAGGCCGGGATTGGGCTCGTCATCTTCAGGGTGACTGTGTCCCCACAGAGAGGCCGCCATGCAGATCGCCCACAGCTACTGTCCCGGGAGCCCCCCCGACGCAGGAGATGAGCAGGGGCTGGGCCTGTGTCGGGGCGAGGTGGACTTCGGAGGGTCCGGGAAGAAGCGGAGCAAGGTAGGGCTGGCCGCGCCCTCAGCACACTCAGGACCCTGCGTCCGCTTCCTGCCCTGGAAGCAGGGCCTGCTGCTCACTCAGTCCTGGGGCCACTGTCCCCCAAGGCCAGGGTCAGGGTCCCCAGACCAGACAGGCAGATTTTCAGAGCTGGTGGGCTCGGGTTGCTGTCTTCTACCAGCCCCGGCCCCCCAGCACTAACTGGAACCGCCCAGGATCTACTGGGAGGCCTGGGAGACGCTGGCGGCCCATGTGCCCCGAACTCTCCTTTGCCGGGGCCTCAGCTCCCCGAGGGGAAGCCAGGCTGGCGAGGTCTGGGACTGCCCAGCCACGTGGACGTCCAAGCTGGACCCGACCTGCTCCAAAAACGGTCTAAGGGGCCTCTACTTTTGCGTGGACATCGCCCCCTCCCAGTGCCCAGAGCCCCCTCGGTGCCCCACATCCCCATGCCCAGCTCCACCCCATGCCCAGTGCCCTCCAGCCCCCCTGGAGCTCACGGTACCCTGCTCCACAGTTCGTGAAGGTGCCCAGCAGCGTGGCCCCCTCTGTTCTCTTTGACTTGCTGCTGGCTGAGTGGCACCTGCCGGCCCCCAACCTGGTGGTGTCCCTGGTGGGTGAGGAGAGGCCTTTTGCCATGAAGTCCTGGCTGCGGGACGTCTTGCGCAAGGGGCTGGTGAAGGCGGCTCAGAGCACAGGTGAGGGCCTCCACCTGGCCTGCCCTGCCCACCACCTCCTATCCTCCTACACACACCTGCCCACTCACGCTCCGCAGGGCAGGCCACACAGGTGAGGCCAAGGGCCTTCCCCAGCTGGCGCCTGTTCACAGTGGGCAGAGGCCCCCAGCGGAGTGCCACCTCCACTCGTGGGGCCTGTGGGCCCTAGTGAGAGGCCCTGGCTGTCACTAACCTGAGCCAGTGGATGAGGTGCATCAAGGGTGGGGTCCACCACACCTCCCCTCCCTGGGGAGCATGTGGGTGGCCAGTTGTTGGGGTCAGAATCAAGCCCCTGGGCTTACTTGTGCGGCTAGCTTTGCCATCAGACAGCCCGGAGGAGGATTCGGGGTTTCTGCAGACATGACCATAGCAAAGAAGACTGATGTGCACCCAGACACAGGCTGACGGTGGTGCTGTGGTCCTGGCCCCGCACAGCCACAGGGCACAGCCACAGGGCACAGCCACAGGCCACAGCTGTGGCCTGCTTGGTTCAGGAAGAACCAATGGGGGTGGGTCCCCAGTATGCACTCTGCAGCCCAGAGTTTCAGGGCTGCTGCTGCATGACCACACTGCAGACCTGGGTTCAGGAACCAGGCTCCAAGCTGCAGAGACACTGGGCAGGTGCCTCTTCCCCTAAGCCTCAGCTTACCCATCACTGCCTCAAGGCAGCCCGAGCACCCCGACCTTGGACCCCAGGCCTGAGGACTCCGGGCTCATCTGTGGGACCTGGCAGGCCAGCTGGGGAGGACCTGGGACACATGGCACAGTGAGCCTCACCTTGCCCCATCCCTCTAGGCGCCTGGATCCTGACCAGCGCTCTCCGTGTGGGCCTGGCCCGGCATGTCGGCCAGGCTGTGCGTGACCACTCCTTGGCCAGCACGTCCACCAAGGTCCGCGTGGTGGCCATTGGCATTGCCTCATTGGACCGCATTCTGCACCACCAACTTCTAGATGATGCCCAGGTAGTAGTTGGCTCATGGTCCCACGGCCTTGGGGTCTTGGTGGGCCTGGGAGGCTGGAAGGCACAGTGGACAGGCCAGTCCCTGCCCTCAGGGACTCTCCAGGGGCAGCAGGGGCTTAGGGCCACAGAGTGAAGCTCCAGGAGGGAGGACACAGAGCTGGAGATGGAGGGGGCCGAGCACGGGGCCGCGGGTCCAGCAGGCGCCAGCAGGTGGCAGCATTGCTCAGAGGGCAGATCCTCTGGAGGTGGACCTGGCTCTCAGGGGGTCCACAGGGGCACAACCTGGCCACAGGCCCAGAGCCCTGTGAAACCCTGAGCATGTGGCTTTGCTTCCTGGTCCCTCTTCACATCCCCCACCCAAGGGGTCTGCCACATGGCCAAAAAGAGGCCCAGGCAGCTCCAGCAAAGTCTGGACTCCAGCCCAGAAGAGTCTAGAAGGAGGAGTTTCTGCAGTCCTGGCCGTCTCCATGATTCTGTGTCCAGGAGGCCTGGGCCCAGCAGCTCAGCCTCCTTCCGCCTGAGGGCTGGAGGAACTAAAGCCCATGCCCCTGTGGCCCTGTGCACGTGGGGGTAGGGGGCAGGCTCGGCCACAGGGCCTAGCGACTCTGCCACCTGAGGCTCTCCCCGCTAAATGGCACAGGAGAACACCCCCATCCACTATCCAGCCGACGATGGGGGCAGCCAGAGCCCCCTCTGCGCCCTGGACAGCAACCTCTCTCACTTCATCCTGGTGGAGCCGGACACCCCAGGGAAGGGGGACGGGTTGGCAGAACTGCGGCTGAGGCTGGAGAAGCACATCTCGCAGCAGAGGACCAGCTATGGGGGTAAGGCCTGCTCCAGCCACCAGGGCCGCCGGGCACTTGGAGCGGTGGGGTGGGGGAGCCCCACGGAGAGGGAAGGATCTTCTAGGCAAAAGGCCCCCAGCACTCCTGAGCATGGAGACCTAGGCGACCAGGCCTGGGAGGAGGGTGGGGGCGGGGCAGGGGGGGACAGAGCGGCTTAGCTGGGCAGAGCAGTCCCAGCTGGACAGTGACACCCCAGCCAGACGGCAGGGCAGCCTGGCCCCATTTTTGTTGGGGCTGTCCTGGCTGCAGGCTCTGGCCATGGACTTGGATCTTTGAGAAGGGAAAAGAGACCTGTAAGTCTATACCACCATCTGCCATGAGGCAATCTGCCACCAGGAGGCAGCGTTGGCCAGTGGCAGGCTCCAGAGCTGAACTTACTAGGGAAACACTAGTGTGAGTGACGTTTATCGACAAGGTACAATGGGTACGAGTGATGTAAATATCAATGCACAGAATGGAATTGTCAGCATGCCAACTGAGCATGCCCCAGCAGTGGGAATGAGGTGGGAGGGCAGCCCTGCCTCCCCGGCAGCCCCAGGCACCTGTGACCAGCCCCAGTTTACCCTGGCAGTTCAGTTGGCAGGCCCCCTCATCGTCAGAGGGCCCCCAGCCCTCAGCTACCCAGAGAGTGATCCAGGCTTCTCCTGCAGTGTGCGGTGACCCGGGGTCCTTCTGGAAGACCCTGGCAGGTCCTGGCTCCTCGGGGACTTCATATGTGGAAGTCTCATTGTCAGCTCCTATTTGGGGGCACAGCCTGGAAGAGTTGCTCGGGCTGCCTGCTGGGGGGCAGCAGCCCTGCTGGGCATCCTGCGCTGGCCAAGAGGCTGCCCTGCTCCTCTGGTGCAGCCAAGGAGTGCGCCATTACCTTTGCCTTCCCTGTCTCTAAGTGGCCAGATGAGGAAGGTGTTGGGGCAGGAGATGGGCCAGGTTTGGCTACCTGCATGTGTGAATGTGGTGCGAGCCCCACTCTGGCGTATAATTGTAACATATCAACTAAAACCAGAAAAGTAAAATTTCAGAACGGCCATACACTTGCTCTGGCCACAGGGGGCCATCTTGGACAGTACAGGTGTAGAATTGGTCCCTTTGGTCCTGGGATTTGACATAGAGCCTGAAGCCTCTCATGACAAAAAGCCTCTGACCATCCTGTGCCCGGAAACATGCTAGCTCGAGAGTCTGGGGTCTGGGTGGTCACCCACATCATGAGGAGGGTCCCCAGGCCCCTCCTCACCTCCCCAACTGGGTCCCTCCTGGGTATCTGGAGGAACTTCACGGCTGCTTCATCTGCAGGCACTAGTAGCATCGAGATCCCTGTCCTTTGCCTGCTGGTCAATGGTGACCCCAGCATCCTGGAGGTAGGTGCTGGGGAGGGAGTGGGGGTTGGGCTGAAGGCCTCTGAATGTCCAGAGCATCCTACAGGGAGTGGCAGGTCCCCAGGCAGGGAGGGATGAGGATGTCCCCAAATGTACATGCAGATATCACTTGGAGTGACTCAGGGTCCACTCTGCCCCTGTCCCAGAGGATTTCCAGGGCTGTGGAGCATGCTGCCCCCTGGCTGATCCTGGCAGGCTCAGGTGGCATCGCGGATGTGATTGCTGCCCTGGTGAGCCAGCCCCACCTCCTGGTACCCCAGGTGGCTGAGAAGCAGTTTAGAGAGAAGTTCCCCAGTGAGCATTTCTCCTGGGAGGCCATCGTGCACTGGACCAAGCTGGTACTGCTGCCTGGGGACTCGGGAGGGGCTGATCTTCCTCCTCTGTCCTCCAACTCATCTGGGGGTGGGCTGGCTCTCGGGGATTCCTGCCAGTGCAATCTCTGTGCCCACCCACCACTGCCAGGACCCCATGTTGCTTCTGCTCTGGCCCTCGTGGGGTAGAGGGATTTGGCAACCAGCTCCTGGGTCTGTGGGTGGTCCTGAGCCAAGCCCAGTGGGTGGTGCACACATTCACCCAGCTGGGGACTCTGCTGGGCTCCATGCTGGCCCACTGCCACCAGTCGTGCCAGGGGTGCCCTTCAGGGCCTCTCCTGTGTCCACAGCTACAGAACATCACCTCTCACCCGCACCTGCTTACCGTGTACGACTTCGAGCAGGAAGGCTCCGAGGACCTGGACACCGTCATCCTCAAAGCACTGGTGAAAGGTGAGAGGAGCAGGGTGTCTTCTCACGGCACTTAGGCCACTTAGGGCCAGGTGGCCCACCAGCATTCATGGTGCATACCCGCCTGCCCTTCCCAGGTGGGGAAGGTGACTCACATCCATGAGGTGCTCCGTGCTGGGGAATCCGATGACACGCAATTTAAAAATATCTAAGGCGCTCGGTCCACCTCTTCACCAGCCCTGTACCATCTCCACCCCAGAACTCCGTCACCCCAAACAGCCCCACCCCCACAGCCACCCTCCACTGTCCCATGCCCCCACCGCCCCTCTGCTTTCGACCTCTGTGGACTTGGCCACTAGGGGCATTGCACAGAAATGGGGAGCAGTGCGTGGCCTCTGCATCTGACTTCCCTCCCTCGGGGTCTTCAGGGCCCCAGATCACCGCAGGTGCCAGAACACCCTTGGAGGCTGAGCAGTAGCCCCCTTCAGTGGACGGACCCCGGCGACTGTGGCCTGGGAGGGAGGCAGTGTTCCCTTGTCACTCCTGGTGCTTTAGAGTGGAGACACACTCAGGGAGGCTGACCTCAGGCAGCTGGACACAGGCCCAAGGCTGGGAGGGGCAGTGCTGGGTGAGGGCTGGGGACAGGCCTGAGGGAGGGCCCTTCCAGGGATGCATTGGGATTGTGGGTGGTTCTGGGCTTAGTGCCCTCCCACGAAGAGGAGGCCCAAGGAGCCCTCTCTGCAGGCGTCCCTCACGGACTCCCAGCAGCCAGCTGGGTCCCAGCAGCCTGAGAGCCCGAGGCCTGGCACCTTGGCACTCTGCCCTCCTCTCAGGAGGAGGTCTCCAGGCGGCACCAGCCAGGTGCAGCAGGACCCCACACCAGTGACCCTGCAGCGCCCAGGTGTGGGTGAAAGCCATTCCCCATGGAGGGAATGTGGGAAGTGGGAACATGCTGCCCCACACTGTCCATGGGAAGAGGACTTAGACCAGCAGTGCTGGGAAGTGACCACGACATCTGGATGTCATCTGAGGCCCCGTTACTGTGAGGATCCCTTCTGCTTCACTGGACCTGGTCCTAAAGGGGACAGGGCGCCCGTGGGGCCTGGCTTTTCACCGGCTCGTGCTCTTGATGGGCAGTGGCCACTTCCCTTCAAGTCCCCTCCAATCCTAGCACAGACCTCCAGTTTCTGCATCCTGGGCTCGGGGACTCTCAACTTCCTCCCACTCTCCCCACAGCCTGCAAGAGCCACAGCCAAGAGGCCCAGGACTACCTGGATGAGCTCAAGCTGGCCGTGGCCTGGGACCGCGTGGACATCGCCAAGAGTGAGATCTTCAGTGGGGACGTGGAGTGGAAGGTGCCTCCCTGGCCCCACCTGTGATGCATCCTGATCCCTGATTCTGGCTAAAACAGGCAGGGCCCATGCTGGGGGCAGGGACAGCCTTATGTCCACGTGTCCTGGAGCTGCTGACTGGCCCATTCTGGCCCAGCTGTTGTAGCCGCAGGGGCAGGCTGGTGTGGGCCAGCCCGAAGCCCAGGGCTCCCACTGCCCTTGGTGTTCACCAGCACATCTGGACCCTTCCTGCCCTGGAGCAAGCTTGCCCACCCTGTGCCAGCCCTAGCTTAGGGGACAGGCAGAGATGTCCTGGGGAGGGCATCAGTGCTGGCTAGCCCTGGACAGGCTCCTGGGCTGTGGCCTCTTGGCCTTTACATTCACTATCCCCATCTCCCTCTCTTGGGTGGGTCCAGTCCTGCGACCTGGAGGAGGTGATGATGGATGCCCTGGTGAGCAACAAGCCCGAGTTTGTGCGCCTCTTTGTGGACAGCGGTGCCAACATGGCCGACTTCCTGACGTATGGGCGGCTGCAGCAGCTCTACCGCTCTGTGTCCCCCAAAAGCCTGCTCTTTGACCTGCTGCAGCGTAAGCATGAGGAGGGCCGGCTGACGCTGGCTGGCCTGGGTGCCCAGCTCTCCCGGGACCTGCCTGCAGGGCCACCCACCTTCTCCCTGCACGAGGTCTCCCGCGTGCTCAAGGACTTCCTGCATGATGCCTGCCGCGGCTTCTACCAGGACAGCCGGGCGGCCGGCCGGAGGAAGGCGGTGCGTAGGGGCGCAGCAGGGGTTGGGGCCTGGGCCGGGCCTGCAGCCTTATGTCCACATGTCCTCCAGGAGAGGGGGCCAGCCAAGAGGCCCACTGGCCAGAAGTGGCTGCTGGACCTCAACCAGAAAAGCGAGGACCCCTGGAGAGACCTGTTCCTGTGGGCTGTGCTGCAGAACCGCCACGAGATGGCCAATTACTTCTGGGCCATGGTGAGCAGTGGCCACGGGGCCCTGGGTTGAGTCTGGGCTTCCCCAGGATTCCTGGGAGGAGGGGTCTGGGTGGGCCGACCTCCTGAGACCCCGTCTCCTAGGGCCAGGAGGGTGTGGCAGCAGCCCTGGCCGCCTGTAAAATCCTCAAAGAAATGTCCCACCTGGAGACAGAGGCAGAGGTGGCCCGCACCATGCGTGAGGCCAAGTACGAGCAGCTGGCCCTGGGTAAGTGACAGCGGGCAGGCCAACCGTGGGAGAGGCGTGGGAGGTCCCTGAGGGGCCTGGGGTCCCCTCAGGCCATTGCCTCGGGGCCTCCCTGGTGGAACAGGACAGGTGGCTCCTCCTGGTGGTGGAGCTCAGCCCTGGAGTCCTAAATGGGAAAGTGTGTGGTAGAGACAGCCCCATGTCCCTGGACCCACCCACGCTGGGTCCTGCTGCAGGGTGGGGGACATTCGGGGTGACAGTCATGACAGGAGAGGAGAGGGGCCGGAGAAGGACAAAGGTTAGGTAAGGGGCTGGGCAGCCAGGCAGGGATGGTCAGTGCTCCAGAGCGCAGGAGGCCTGAGGGGGCAGAAGACAGGGTGGGCATGGGCACGTCACGGAGACAGGGCCCGCTGGGCAGACCTCTTCTCCGAGTGCTACAGCAACAGCGAGGACCGGGCCTTCGCCCTGCTGGTGCGCCGTAACCGCAGCTGGAGCCGGACCACCTGCCTGCACCTGGCCACTGAGGCGGACGCCAAGGCCTTCTTTGCCCATGACGGCGTGCAGGTAAGGGGCGGCCAGGGGAAGGCCGCTGGGGCGACGTGGGCTGGAGGGGCCCAGGCAGCCGCGGACGGCCAGGCCCCTCCCCACATCCCAGCAATGAAGGGGCTGGGCATGGTGACTCAGCTCCTGCGCCCTCTGCCAGCCGGACTCTTCCTGCCTACGGAGACCTCACTTCCTCAGAGTAGGCCCCTGGGCTCCAGCAGTCCCTTGCTGAAGCTTCACAGCGGGACAGGATCCACGCTTCCAGGAGGATCCCTGGCTTCCCACCCGGATGGGGCCCGGGTGGGCTGGGGAGGGGCCTCTACAGCTGGCCTGGGAAAGCACTTGCATTCGCCAGGTGCCTGGGGAAGGATGTTCCTGGCGGAGGGCACAGCATGGGCCAGGTGGGCAGGGGACAGCCAATGAGTGTGTCTTTATTTCAGGCGTTCCTGACCAAGATCTGGTGGGGGGACATGGCTGCAGGCACACCCATCCTGCGGCTGCTGGGCGCCTTCACCTGCCCTGCCCTCATTTACACCAACCTCATCACCTTCAGGTGGGTCAGGCTGGCCACAGCCAGGTGCCAGAGCCTCTGTCCCCCTGCCCACAGCCCCTGTGTTCAGTGGGGCACATGGGCCTTCATTCTTCTTAGCAGACCCAGCACTTTGCTGGCTGGGAGCCCAGGGCTGAGCAGGTGCCCTTCCTGAGGGCTCTGAGCGTCCCTCTGTACCACAGTAAGGAAACCCCTCTGAGGACGGGCCTGGAGGACCTGCAGGAGCTGGACAGCCTGGACACAGAGAGGAGCCTGCTGTGTGGCTCGGGCAGCCGGTCAGGGGCAGAGGGAGCTGGGTAGGGCAGACGGGCTGGTGGGGGTGGCAGGAGGCTGGACCCTGCTGGGCAGAGGTGGGCTCCAGGGCCAGCCTCACAACAGTGGCCTCCTCTGCACCGGCACAGGGTGGAGGAGCCAGTGGAGGCACCAAGGGGTGCAGGTGACCGAGGCCCGCAGGCCGCCTTCCTGCTCACACGCTGGCGGAAGTTCTGGGGGGCACCGGTGACTGTGTTCCTGGGGAACGTGGTCATGTACTTCGCCTTCCTCTTCCTTTTCACCTACGTCCTGCTGGTGGACTTCAGGCCGCCTCCCCGGGGGCCGTCTGGGCCCGAGATCACCCTCTACTGCTGGGTCTTCACACTGGTGTTGGAGGAAATCCGGCAGGTCAGTGGCCAGCCCAGCCCTGGGCCTTGGCTCTGTAGCTGCAGGCTGTGTGGCCGCAGGCAGGTCCTGGCTTGGGGCTGGACCTGTCATAGAACAAGAACAGCAGGGGCCTCGGGTCTTCCTAGAGCCCTGAGCCTCAGTCCCTGTCACGTCCTGAGCCCAGCTGCAGACTGAGCCTGACCATGGTCTCCCAGATCCTGGCCTGAACCCCTAGCTGGGCCTGGATACCCCCCATAAAATGGTCCTGGACTTTGATCACAGAGAGCCCTGACTCCCAAGTCCAGTTTGGTCTGCTTTTGACTCCAGACTTAGCCCTGAATAGGTCAATCCGAACCATGAAAGGAGTCCCCCCAGGTACTTGCAGACCCCAGCCTGGGCCAGCCTGGGCCAGCCTGGGCAGCTGTCACAGACTGTTCCCTCTCCCAGGGCTTCTTTACGGATGAGGACACACACTTGGTAAAGAAGTTCACTCTGTACGTGGAGGACAACTGGAACAAGTGTGACATGGTAGCCATCTTCCTGTTCACCGTCGGTGTCACCTGCAGGTCTGTGGTGTCACCTTGCGGCCCCTCAGGGGCTGGTGGGCAGGCTTCCTGTGAAGTCACTCAGGCCTCTGGAGGCCTGGCAGCTGCCTTCTGGTCACTGAGCTGTGGGGAAGGGTCTTCCCTCTCTGAGGACCAGCAGCCCTGTGCAGCTCGTGTCCTCCTCCAGGATGCTCACCTCCTTATTTGAGGCCGGCCGGACCATCCTGGCCATCGACTTCATGGTCTTCACGCTTCGGCTCATCCACATCTTTGCCATCCATAAGCAATTGGGCCCCAAGATCATCATTGTGGAGAGGATGGTGAGCCCCACCTGGGCCTGACCCTGGGGGGTGGTCAGTCCCCATCTGGGCCCGACCCTGGGTAGAAGAATCCCCCAGACCTGGGACCCCCACTGGGTGGTAGTGAGCCCCAGAATGCCCATCCAAGTGGACACTGACACCCCTACTCTCCGTCCCCTGTCCTCAAGATGAAGGATGTCTTCTTCTTCCTCTTCTTCCTGAGCGTGTGGCTCGTGGCCTACGGTGTGACCACCCAAGCGCTGCTCCACCCCCATGACGGCCGCCTGGAGTGGATCTTCCGCCGCGTGCTCTACCGGCCCTACCTGCAGATTTTTGGGCAGATCCCCCTGGATGAGATTGACGGTGCGCCTACAGCCAGGCAGGAGTGGACTGGTGGGGCTCTTCTGCCAGTGTGGAGTAGCAGCCCAGGACACTGGCTCCCCAGAGGGGTCTGCTGAGGTCATGGGTCTGCCTGGAGCTGGCCGAGATGAAGTCCCCGAGGCCAGTGCCCACCCCACCCTGCCCCTGTGCCCTGCACACCTGTGTAGGCCAGGCCCAGACCCACAGCAGGGGCAGGGCCAGCCCCAGCAGGAGGCCCCAGCCTCACCCTCAGGCAAGGAGCTGAGACCTGGGAGACCACAGGCTGACAGGGATTTCCTTCCTGCCTGGCAGGCCAGGGACAGGCCTAGCTGGGGTCCTCTGGAGAGGGGGTAAAGGGTGGGCAAGCACAGAACAGAGTCATTCAGGCCACCCTGACCATCCTGGGAGCTTCATGGCCAAGGTCTCCCTGTCACCCTCGAGAGGCCCAGGGTGGTGAGGCCCTTCCTGATAGCACCCTTGCTTCTGCTGGGGACCCACCCACGTGTGTGTGCCACCTATTGTCATCAGGGGCATGTGGCCTGTGGTGTGGGTGTCCCCAAGCCAGGCCCTGTACTTGAATGGGGCTGCGGGGCCCTGGGAACTCGCTCCAGACAGGGCGTGCAGCGTGTGGCGGAAGGCAGCTGCTTGCCTGGGCTCTTGGGCTGATGGATGGAGGCAGGGATGGGCCTGTGCCAGCCTGCGGGGGTGCCAAGGCTTGGAGATGGGGCACAGGGTGGGGCCACCCTGGCCATGGGGCCATGGTGGCAGGATGGGCAGCAGAGGTCTGACCCCAGCTGTCCCTGGAGGAGGCCAGACCAGCCATCGTGGCATGTGACAGATACTTGTCAATGGATGACGGCGAGATCCGGGGGTGGGCAAGGGCTGGAGACCGGCTCCTGGCTGGGTGCTCAGTGGGCCACGGTCTGAGGCTGTTTTCTGAGCGCCCCTCAAGGACCACTTTCTCCAGCCCCTCCTGCTCTCCACCTGCTCCGCCCTCACCCTACGGCCCACACATTCCAGCCCCCCTGGGCCTCTGAGGCAGGAGGACAGGGTGGACGCTCAGCCAGGGCAGGGTGGGGTCCTCCTTCCTCAGGGGCTGATGTCCAGCCCACTCAGCCCCAGCTGCCTGCCCTCCACACTGGATAAGGAGACAGACCTGGGCCAGTCCCTCTCTTACTGGGACAGTGCCACCTGGGAAGGCACAGGTAGAAAGGTCTGTGGGGCCACTGTGGTCAGGCTTCGCTGAGCGCCCTTGCCCACGTCCTCTCCCCTCTCTGGGCCCTCAGGCACAAACCCCAGCCCTTCCCTGAGATCACTGTGCTGCCTGGTAGACAGTTACTCTCTCACTCCTGGGCCCAGAGGGAAACCGAGGTCCAGCAGCTCCCCACCGCCTGTGGGCCCAGGGCCCCCGTCCACACACTTCCAGCTTGGTCTTTCCCCTGGGCTCCTGGGCCAGGGGCAATTTGGTTTCCAGCAGGCCTAGTGGCGCCTTCTCAGATCTTGGGGAAGGGGTGGGTCTCCTTACCTCCCAGAGGCTTCCATCAGACAGATTCACAGCATCACAAACGCAGCTTGGCCACTTCTCTAGGGCGCCGGAGGAGGGAGGAGGCTCGAGTCAGTGCCTGGAGGAGATTCATGGGTTGAGGGCTGCCAGGGTGCCTGAGGAGGGGCAGGGTGGGGCCTGGCCCTCCCCGGCTACAGCATGAACCCCCACATACTGCCTTCTAACTCACTCTGCTGACAAGGCAGGAATTTGTCCCTGTGAGGGAGTCATAGGGACACTGGTACACAGGTGACCTGGAGAGTGGAGGCCCTGGGGTGTCCTGGAGTCAGTCACAGCCCAGAGACCCAGAGGGGTAGGCACCAGAACACGCTGGAATGTACAGAAGAGAGTACCGTGTGCTCACACGTAGACACCCACACCACACACGTGCGGAGACAGATGCGCATGTCCAGGCCCATGGAGCTCAGCCTGACGGCTCCCGGATGGCACTGCGGCCCAGAGTGAGCTGTGTCAAGGGTCAGCAGTGACCCTGAAAGGCGGTAGACTTGCCTGGAGCTTGGAGCCCCATGGTGGGCTTCCCAGGCAGGGATGGAGGAGTTAGTTCATACAGTCACCAGATGCTGCTCCCTGATTTTTCAGTTCCACCTCCCTGGTCTTCGGTTCCACCCTCCAGGGCCTGTGGCTCCTGGTGGAAGCCAAGCAGAGTGGGATATGTGCACTGGTGCTGGGCAGCCCGCCTGTCTGGTTGCCAGGACTGGGGCTTCCACAATGGGCTTCCAGTGCTAAATGCCCAGATGGTGCTGTGTGAACCACGACACTGGGTCACCTCACCAGCATTTTGTGTCCTGGTGGCCACAGCCTCAGGACAGGGCCCCCAAGTCTGAAAGTGCCCACTGGTCGGTCTTCCAGAAGCCCGTGTGAACTGTTCCGTCCACCCCCTGCTGCTGGAGGACTCGCCCTCCTGCCCCAACCTCTATGCCAACTGGCTGGTCATCCTCCTGCTGGTCACCTTCCTGCTGGTCACCAATGTGCTGCTTATGAACCTGCTCATTGCCATGTTCAGGTGCCCATGTCCTGCCCTTCCCAGGCCACCTGCCCTCGCTGCACCAGCCCTGTCCTGCTACTGTGGAGCAGGCAGATGGAGGGTGGGTCCTTAGCACTTGCTGAGGGGCTCAACTCCCTGGCCCCAAAGCCAAGGGTGAGACCAGAGTGTGGGGAGGGGTGCAGTCCACACTGTAAGCCCCCTCAGGCTCCACAGCCACTCCCTCCTCCCTTGATGTAGGGCCCAGGGCTTCAGGGGCTGGGGGCTCGGGGGTACGTGGTGTGGCCCAAGCTTACCCAGGGGGCAGAACGGCAGGGGAAGAGGACAGTGGGTGGACCCTCTCTGCAGTACACCCCAGAGACGCGAGAGCGTGCAGGACCTCGGCCTCGGAAAGGGCCCAGACTGCTCCTGGCACAGGGGGGTCAGGGTCACACGTGCTGAGGAGGTGCAGGCTAGTGGGCTGAGGGGTCTGGCCATGTGTCCCCACAGCTACACGTTCCAGGTGGTGCAGGGAAACGCCGACATGTTCTGGAAGTTCCAGCGCTACCACCTCATCGTGGAATACCACGGGCGCCCCGCCCTGGCCCCACCCTTCATCCTCCTCAGCCACCTGAGCCTGGTGCTCAAGCGCGTCTTCAGGAAGGCAGCCCAGCAAAAGCAGGAGCACCTGGGTGAGGCACCTGCTGGACACCACCCATCCTGAGGGCCTGCCGCCCGTCAAGGTGCCATGGGGAGGCCAGGGTCCTGGGGTCCTGCAGCTCCTCCGTCTAGGCTGATCAAAGTCCCAGGTCCAGAGGAGGTGGACACAGGCCCAGCCTGTCTTGCAGCAGCTTGGGGACGGGGGTCTCTGCAAGGGGCCACCTCATGACCTGCCCAGCTGCACCTGCCCCTGGGTCCACCTCCTGGCTCCAGCAAGACTCCCTGCTGCTCCCACCTCCCCAGAGCGAGACCTGCCGGACCCCCTGGACCAGAAGATCGTCACCTGGGAGACTGTTCAGAAGGAGAACTTCCTGAGCAACATGGAGAGGAGGAGGAGGGACAGTGAGGGGGAGGTGCTGCGGAAAACCGCCCACAGGTACACACCTGGGGCTGCCCAGGAACGGAAAGGGCCTTGCCCTGGTGGCAGGTGGACCCAGAGCAAGCCCAGCCATGCTGACCTCGGTCTGCTGTGAGGAGCAGCAGACTTGGGCAGTGGGTGCCCAGCCTGGGCATTGGGAAGACCACTATTGTTTTTACTGGTCAGCTTTGAGCTGCTTGAAAGCTGGAAGAGGACTTCCAGTGTCAGTAGCTGGACCTGGGCAGAGGAACCAGGCGAGAAGCAGGACTCGGCTGGGTCCCTGGGCTCAGCAGCCCCCCCCACACCTCTTGCCCACTGGAGGGGCTCTGCCAGGGACTAGCCTGCTCTGCAGCTGGGACACTGGCCAGGGAGCAGGGCCCCTCCCTTCTGGGGACCCAGTGGTCTGAACCCAGCCCTGGCTCTAGGGGACCTTTCCCTGATGCCTGTTGTGGTCAGCAGGGCAGGGCCCAGCCCCTGGGAGGGCACAGAAGTGCTCTACATGCAGACTGGCCATGTCCTGAGTGGTCGTGGATGCGACCATTCCCAGAGCCATGGGTCCGGTCCCACTTGGGAGAGTAGGACAGGAAGGGGCCAGCACATCAGATTCAGTACCCAGAGGCCTGGGGGGTAGGCGAGGGAGGACAGGCAGCCCCCATATGGATTAATGGCTGTCATGGCCCATAGCTGCCCTTGTTTATCCACAGAGTGGACTCTGTTGCCAAGTACCTCGGGGGGCTGAGAGAGCAAGAAAAGCGGATCCGGTGTCTGGAATCACAGGCAAGCAGCAACTCCAGGCCCCGATGCTTCCTGGGGTCAGGCTGTCCACCTGTGCTGTGGGCACATCCCTGAGCCCCACATCCAAATTGATGGGCTGGCTGGGCCAGGGCCTGGACAGAGTGGTGGACTCCTGTGGACGTGGCAGGCGAGTCCCAGAACAGAGTGCACGAGGGCCTGTGCCCCGCCCCAGTCACCTGGAAGTCTAAGTGCCCTCCCAGAGCTGGTCTCGCAGATCCTCATGGAGGCCACACTGTGGCAGAGGGCCCTGGCAGTTGAGGGGGCAGACAGGTGGGCTCCACCAGCAGGCCCTGGAATCTCCTGGCCCATCCACTTCCAGGTCAACTACTGCACACTGCTCCTGTCCTCCATGGCTGATGTGCTAGCCCCGGGCAGCAACTACTGGAGTAAGTGCACAGCTGGCTGTGAACTGGGCCTGGGCTCCTCCTCCCCAGCCACGTGGGCAGGCTGCAGGGCCCAAGGGCCTCTTGATGCACTCTACCACCCATTCTGGAGGCCGCTGGCCCCCTTGGCTGGCCACTACTCCTGGGATGCTGCAAGGTCCAGGGCATTGGCACCCTCAGATGTCAGATACACCCCGAGGCTCTGTCCAATATCTGCCTTACTAGGCTGCACTCTTGACCCTGCCAAGTGCCACCCTATCACCCACAGCCCTGAGGACACCACGTTTGCTTGGGACTCCCAGCCTCCTCCACAGGCACCCACTCTGAGGCCACGACATCCTGCCCTTGCCTCCTAGGCCTGCCCCGCTGGCACTCAACAGCTGAGGCGGGGTCTCTCTTCCCCCCAGGCTCTCGGCAATGTGGTAATGGGAGCCAGCAGGCCCCTGCTGGCCACGGAGAAGGCCCTGGTGGCAGAGAACACCCAGAGGCTGGCCAGCCACCCTCAGACAACTGAGCTGCTTGGTCTGCCATGCCACAGGCCCAACTAAGCCCAGGCCTGGCCCTTCACTGGTCATCCTGGGCCTTGGGGACACATTAACCTTCCCCCACCTCCACTGGAGGTCCCAGAGCAAAGTAGCCCTCCCAGCCTCATCAGAACACCTCTTCCTGGACATGTCCCTGTGAAGTTGAATCATTCTCTCTTGACCTACCTGGGACCCCCAGCAATATTGGTGGCAGTGTCCCTCACAGGATAAGTCCTCCATGTCCCTGTTTAAGACCTGGCTGGCCTGGCTTGGAGAGCCAGTTCTGGCCAAACCCCAGGAAGTTGGGGGTTCCTTCCATCCAGGTTGGGCAGCTGCTTTGGGGCCTGCCCTGCCTCCACTTGTGTCATCTGATAAGAAACTATCTTTTCCTGAAATGCCTGTGATCAACGTCTCTACCCCTTAAGACACAAAGGGCCCCTTAGGAGTCAGCTGATTGGCTCTTGGTGGGAAGGGCCAGGTGGCAATAGTAACCATCTACCCCCCACAGCTGGTATGGGGAGTGCTGGCACCCACGGCAGTGGTCTCAGGACACAGCCCAGACAGGTGCCTAATACTACTTTATTTTCAAAGAACCTGGAAACCACAACCCACCAGCCCAGACCAAACTGGCTCCAAAGGATGGCTAAGGTGCCCAGGATGTTGAGTATCAGTACCTCTGAGGGCAGTAAGAAGGCCTACTGCCCCATGCACATGGAGCCTGACCTCCTGGAGTCCCCCACTCCAAGCAAAGTAACCAACTGGTTGGTCCCTCCTTTCCTTAGGGATGAGTCCAGGAGTTAGGGCTGCCCATGCAAAACCACAACATAATAGGCTAATCTGACCCCCAGATCCTGGGCATCATAGGGGAGATGTGGCCACTCCTTTTCGCCTTACCCACTGCCATGGAGAACCATCCTTGTCCCCCCACTGCCCAGTTAGGAAGTCTCCAGCGCTGACTTGTGGTATCTGTGCTCTAAATACAGGCCAGGTGTCCTGGCGGTACACCCTAGACATCTGTTACGTGTCCATCTTCACATACAGCCCAAGTGGGACCCACAGCCATGACAAGCATGGTCAGGGTTGGGAGAGCAGCCACCCAGGGTCCCTGCTCAAGCTCTAGCCTCACCAGGCAGGACACAGGGATGGACGCTGGACTGTGAACTGCAGCCCTGGACGGAACCGGGGCCTCAGCCTGCTGTTGCCACTTCAGTCCTTCTAGTGGATCCCCCAGTGACCAATGCAGGTCATTGAGACCCTCAGAGCAGCCCCACTAGGCGGGGAGGGCCAAGAGAGGCTGGAGGACAAACGAGGGCTGCCAGTAGAGCCCTCAGGGTGAGGGGCCCAGACAGACACAGAACCTGAAGAACAGCCAAAACTTTTATTGTCCCCCCATGGACACTGGGTAGCCAGAACTCTGACACCTCCTCCAGGCAGCTAATCAACTTCCTTACCAAGAGGATGATTCCCCATCCACCCTAGCAACCATGGCCCCATACTCCAGCCCACTCAGCAGTCTCTGCTTGGGCAGGCAGGCAGGCAATGGCAGTGTGGTCAGTCTGAGTGTCCCCCTCCCATCCCAGCCCCTGAGCTATCAGGGCTGCTGCCCCTATTGCGCAGGTGCTCTCGGCTCCGCTTCTTGCTGCCATGGAAACCAACCATCTCCACCCCTGGGGGTCCCGGTGAGGACCCAGGGTGGACAGCCCCTGAAGGTGTCCCCAGATCCTGTAGCCCCAGGGCACTACCACACTCCTCGGCCTCTGGGCTCCCAAGCCCCACCAGGTGGGCCAGCTCCACGGGACCCTCGCCCCCAACACCTGGCACACCCCCCTTCTTCAGGGCCCTCTTCCTCTCAGCTCTGGCCTCTCCAGCTCGGACGGGCTTGGTGAAGAGGACTCTCCCCTCCCCACCGCTGGAGGGGCGCTGGTTGAAGGAGGGCGTGTAGTCGGCGGGGGCCGCCCGGCTGCGCGAGCCCAGGAAGGCCCGGGCGGCTGCCCGGTTGCTCTGCTCGCTGGCCTCGGCCACGTCTTCCAGGCTGTACTTGGTCCAGCGCTCAGGGTGAGCCACATAGTCAGGGAGAGGCGGCACCCTCGGAGGGTCAGGGTCTGCCGCCGGAGGCTGGCTCGAGGGCATCGGTGGCCGCTGGGGGCCACCGCTGTCACTCCTGCTGGTGTGAGCTGCCGAGGTGGGCACCCGCCTGGCCGCCCCCTCCAGACAGTCAAAGATGCTGTGGCTTCGCTGGGAGAAGGTGGAGCTCACGCCTTTGAGGAGGAAGGGCTGCGCGGCGGCGCCGGGGAGGCCTGCCGGGGACCAGGGGGGCTCTTCGGGGCCGGAGTCCTCGGGGGACAGCGCCTCCACCTCAGCAGCGCCGGGCAAACTGAGGTCTGAGTCCGAGTCGCTGAGCGAGACGGTGTCAGAAGGCAGGGTGTCATACTCTGTCGCCTGCTCCGCCTCCAAGCCAGGGGCCGGCTCGCCCGCCCCCGCCTCAGCCATGGGCGCCCGGCCGCGCTGCCCTGGAGCCCCGCGGCCAGCGGTTTGCCCGTGAAGAGCGTGTTCAGAACGAGGCGCTCCCGCAGACCCGCGTCCTCCGGGGGCCCCTGTCCGGCCTGCCGCGAGCCCCCTGCCCCGCGGAGGGCCGATGAAGGGCCTCGGTGGGGGGCGTGCGGGCCCCGGCCCAGGTGCGCGGCTGCTCGCTGGGCGAGGGCTGCAGCAGAGCCGGCCACCAGACCACGGTGCAACCCGCCGAGGGCCGGGCTCTCGGCGGCTGCCTGCCTCGCTCGGGGACCGCTCCGCGGGTGGGCCGAGCAGCGGCCTCTGCTCTGCTCCGCTCCGCTGGGCCGCGCGAAACGCAGGGCGGCAGGAGCGCGGCGGACTCGCAGCCTCCGGCACTCAGAGGGCCGACCGGGAACTCGCCGGAGCCCGGCACACTGGCGCGTCCGCCGCCTCCGGATGCGGTCCCTCCCGCCCCGCGCCGGGGCCTCTGGGAAAGTGAGTTCCCCCCCCGTCCGCGCGCCGCGACTGAGGCGCCTGAGGAACTACCACTCCCACAAGGCCGCGACGGCCACCCCGAGGCCTGCCGGGACGCGCACTCTGCGCGCACGCCGGGCTTTGCTAACGCTCCTCCCCAGGGTCCCTCGGATCCGGAAGTGACGATCTGGAAGGGGCGGAGCCAAGACTGCGGTTCCCATAGTGCCCCGGGGCTGCGGCTCGCCGTGCAGGCTTGCCGGAGTTCCAGTGCCACCTGCTGGAGACCGCGAGTTCAGCGACCGCTTCTGACAAGGAAGTGCGTCATCGCACACCACGGGCGCGAATCCGTTCCGCGCGCACTTCCGGTACTGGCCGGAAGCGGTAGCGGTAGGCCGGGCTGTGCCGCGTTGGTCTGTCCGCGGGAGCCGGCGCCGTATACCGCTGGCCGGTCGTGCACAGCCGAATACTACTTCATTTTATTTTAGTGCCCAATACTACTTTATTTTCAAAGAACCTGGAAGCCACAACCCACCAGCCCAGACCAAACTGGCTCCAAAGGATGGCTAAGGTGCCCAGGATGCTGAGTATCAGTACCTCTGAGGGCAGTAAGAAGGCCTGCTGCCCCATGCACGTGGAGCCTGGCCTCCTGGAGGCCCCACTCCAAGGACCCGAGCCGGACCCGAGGCCTGACCCAGGAGGTGCGGGGCGCGGGCGAGGCTCGGCCTTCCACGGCAGGTTCTCCCCTCATAGGCCACAGGCCCCAGCCCGGCGACATCCTTTGTCCCTCGGCTGAAGTACCCTCCGACCTTCCTCCACAAGGCCTGCCTGCCCGGCATCCCCGGGAAGCCAGGGTCCAGGTCCTGTTGTGCCTCTCCTGGAGACGCCCCGTTCCTCAGCCCCCTGGTCTGCGGGGCACCTTTGGGACACCTCATCCTGCCCTGCCCAGAACCTTGCTAGGAATGAATGATTTTGCTTCCAGAAGCCCACGTCGAAGCACCCCAGCTAGTAGGCAACACTGGGGGAGTAGGAAGGAGGAGGCGCCTCTAACCACCAGCTAACCCCAGAGGCCGGACGGGGCAGTGGTCCAGTGTAGGGCAGGCTAGTTTCCAGAGTCAGACTCAAGGAGGCTGCTGGGTGCCAGTGACAGAATTCCACCCAGGTCCAGCCAATTAAATGTCCCAGTCAGTTTTTCATACTGCCCTACCCAGACTAAGGGGAAAGCAGCCTGGCCTAGGCTGGGGACCTCAAAGACCGGGGCATCTAGTCAAGCCCATTGGTTGTAAGAGATGGGGCTAGGAGAAAAGGGTGGGTGTTGCCCAGAAGACTGCTGAGCCTCAGAGCCTCAGTTCACCACTCTGGGCTGGGTGGGCCTCCAGGAGGCTTTAAAATTTTCCTCACCAGCCCCTTTAAAATACGGTTTTAGGCTGAGTGACCCAGCTTAATGGAATACTTAAGGCTCACAAATAGGGAGACATCCTGAAATGCTTGGGGGAGGGTCTTGCAGCTCTACCCTCAGCACATCATGTACTGAATTCCCTGTCTGGCCCTGCTTGTCCCTCTGGGGATGATGTGTCCAAGGGGTGAGGTGGGAGTGACATCAAGACTGCTGTGGCAGCACAGAGCCCCCAAAAGGGTCATTCAGCACATGGGACTGTTCCCCAAAGTCCAGCCCTGCCCACGCACTGTAGCCAGCAGCCCCTCTTGGGCCAGCTCCCCCTGGGCCTGGGAAAGTCCAGATCGGGGCCAAACTCACAATGGGCTCACTTGGCCTCGGGTGCTGCTGGCACAGGAACTGGCTCCACAGTCCTGTTAGCATGCCTGATTTTCCTTCTTTATTAAATGATTTTCAAGATGTTGTAATTACAATTGAAGGTGACGTGTTAGAAAGGACAGGTGCATTGAAGGCATAAAGAGTGCTCAGACCCGGCTCTCAAAATGGGGGCAGGGAAGGAACAAGGATTAAAAAGGTGCAGCCCATGGGACAAGGAAGGGGGGGCAATAGCCCCCCAGCCCAGCCATGCTGAGCCTCAGGACAGGTGTCCCTGGGAGGGCGCTGGCTTAGCAGGCAGAGCTCACTAAGGGGCCCCTTCAGCACAGGGTCCCCAAGGCCCAAGTTTGCTCCACGCCCACGCCACCTACAGGTGACGTCAGCCCCCAAAAGGTAACAGGAAAGTTCAGAACAAAAAAAAAAAAACCTCAAAAGTAAAAAGGCTAAGTGTAGCAGAGTAATACCGGAAACGTTATATACACAGGTGGTGACAGCCCTGCAGCACCTCCGGGTCACTCTGGGGCACTGCAGGGGCTCAGTACACAGAGCTGTTCCGGATGCCACAGCACAGCACCATGCTCAGGATCATCTCGAAGATCTGTAGGGAGGAGGCAGGGTGAGGTCAGCACCCGAAAGGCAGGGGGCTTCAGTGCCCACAAACAGAGGCCCTGCCCCCACCAGCTCACCATTATGACAGCAACGACGATGGCGGCAATGCCAATGAGGTACAGCTTTCCCGAGAAGAGTTCATCAATCTTCTGGTGGCAGTCCTCCTGCAGGGGCAGTGGGCGGTCAGCAGACAGCTTAGCCCCAAAGCAGAAGGGATAGGTGGCCTTGTCCCTGCCTCTCCCACCCCCACATCAGGAGAGGTGGCACAGCAGCTGGGCTCTGCCCAGAGTTGTTCTGTCCATTTAAAAAGAATCCAAACCATGGGGACATACTGCCTGAAGCCTTCCCTACCTCAAGGCCATGATCATTGGCATTGCTACGTTTACCAAGGGACTTCCACAGGTGCTGGGTGGGCCTCCAGTGGCATCAGTAGCTTTGGGCAGTGACCCAGGTGGTAAGGACTCTGTGTGCCCCCATGCATGAGTGGAAGTGCAGGCCCTGGGCGAGGCCCATCTGGGAGTCTCCCCTCTTCCTCGTGGGCCACACTCAACCTACTCAGCCCTCTCAATAGAGCAGCCTTGGTGCCACCCCTAAACCAGGACCCACCCAGATAGGTGGAGGCCCCTGCCTCTGCCCCACCCACCAGTGCACACCTTGAAGAGATTGGT